TTTTAATTTTTGCCAGTGCTGTAAAAGCAGTTATCACAGCAAACGAGTAAAATGTGAGTCTGATAAAGTTTTCATAAAATGGTAATATTTATAAAATACAATAATATCTTCTTAAACTATAGCTATTCTGTTTTCATGAAAAGTTGCGAGAATAATTTATTCGCGATCGTCGCAATTATTGTCTTCTTATACATCGATCATTAATTTGCTTTCTTGCTTTTCCAGGGCCGTTTTTTTAATGCATTAAGTTAGAATTGATGCATCAAAACTAGGAGATGATTTGGTTTTTAAAAAGATGCTATTCTGCAGTGTTATTCGACATTATTCAAGTATTTGTAAATACTGGTACTAAATAAACTAAAACCTTGTTTAACAGAGCACTATTTTTAATATCTAGAAAATAATTATTTTATTTCGGTCTAATAACCATATGGAGTCTATACCAATAAAAATTCTTTCTGGAGCGCATCAGAATGGGTTTATTTGTCAACTGTGTTTTGTATGTACATTTTTCTCTATCTTTCAGGACAAGAATTTCAGCATTTGTCTATACAATAAGCAATCAACTTCTACAACAAGATCTGGACAACGTTGAAAAACGCTTTTTTTTTACTATATATGGAGGATACGTGTTGATGGACCTCGAAGCCGAAATTAAATAAATTTTCTGGGCAACTTGGAGAAGGTAATCGTCGTCCTTCATTGGATTAGCAAAGCTGCAGCGCCACAGATCCCCACCTTGGTTGCTCACCTCATCGCAGTTCCTAATCGGATGAAAACAATGCGCGAAAGGCTCACCAATTGAAGGCTCATCGATCGAAACGTCAAATTCCATCTAACCACACTCGTAAAAACGAAGAGGCTTGACTTTTACATTCAACCTGGAATCGGTGGATTTACTTCCGACTATGGAGCAAATTCAGGTAATGGCATCGGACAATTCATAATTTCTTCAACTGTCAGAAATTCTATGCCTTACCTTATGAATTTTCCAAATATTATCTGCAAGGGAAGAACCGACCAGATTCAATCGCTTTTCATAACCAGCATGGTGATGATAAGTCTTTCGAAGCAGCACTAATTATACTAGAAAAGATATGTGGAGTAGTTTTAACCATGATACTTTTTAAATGTAATAGTTCTTAATAGTTTTCTTGACTTTATATAAAAATATTGGAAAAATGTTCTCTCTTATGAAAATAAATTTATTAAAATATGTACTTTTTTTAATATACAATGTACATTTGTTTTTTAATTTTTTTGAAAAAAAAATATTTTGACTTATTTTGGAAATTCTGAACTTTTTTTTCAAAGCAAACGTACTGCTTTAACAGCATAGACACGCAATGTCAAGCGCGTAGCGCCGCATCGCCGTCTAACGGAAAAACATTAGTTCGGAACCCATAGGAATGTAAAACAAAATTTATACTTATTGTTAAAATCTCTATAAATATCTGATAATTTGATGTGCATACGTCCAATGATCATTTTTGACCGCCAAATGGCTTTTTTTTTATTTTTTTTCATTAGATCTCCGAACCGCTAGACCTGCCTTCATGAAAATTGATCAATTCTTCATCTTGTCAATACAAGTAAATGTTTTTTGAATTATTAAAATCAGACGCTCTTGTTTTCTCAAAAATTGAATTACCATTTTCGGCACTTTTTGCTCCGTATCTTTGGAACGGCTAAACCTGACTTTGCCAAAACTAATCAGCACGTCTCCTTATCAATAGGAATCGAATATTTTTTTAATCATTCAAATTGGCTAATCCGTGTTTTCGAAATCGTCGACGAAAATTGTATCCGCACATATATACATACACAAACATCCATTTTTTTCAAAGGCATGTTAAAATGTTCAGAAACCTTAGAAACGTAAAATAATCTTCATTTTCGATTTTTTGCGATTACTATATAACGTTCCCTACGGAAAGTTAATAATAAATAATTTAATTATACAATTACATATATTATGAGTATGTTTGAAATACATAATTGGAAATCGTATTGATTATTTTTTAGTTAAAAGAAACATTTTACTTTTGAAATGAACAGTTAAAGGTTTTTTCTAAGCAATCTCGATTCTTAGTAATTAAGTTAATTATTCACATGTATGGGAATCTTTTGCATTTTGCTTCAGGCAAAGTGCCACTTACAACTAGTTAAAACCCTTCCTAAGGACTCCCTAACCCATTTTTATACGGAGCCCAGCCAAGGCACGCTCTGGTATATACTATAGTGAGTGTAGAGTGTAAATCTCAAAAAGCATTTTTTTTTTTGGCATAAATATGACAAAAATCTATACTAGTTGAGTTTATCTTCGTACAGTAAAATTTTCACAACTTGCAAATAGTAGAAAATCAATTCATAGAAAAATTATACGATTCAATAACGATCTATTAAAATTAAATATACTCACTAACGCAGGTGTTATTTGCGACCTACAAGTAAAATACGACATCACTACCAATTTTATGCTTTAAGCCAGAGAAAAATTACCCTGACATTTATTTATTATGAAAATTCATTATATCACATAACTGACCCTTGACTTTGGTCGAATTAATACTTATTTTACAGGGCCGTGCTGAGCACATTTTTTATTGCGGAAAAAATTAGTATCCATATCAGTATAAATTAAATTTAGCGTATATTCTTTTTGTTATGTTTTTTATATATTTTTCATATAAATCATTACAAATTTAGATTAAATTCATGCAATGCTTTTTTCAATAGGTAAAATGATTCGAAAGATGGGTATGTACAAAATTGCTACCAAAAATATTAACTCTTTTCACTCGCAAATTCCGAGATTTATACGAATTTTGCCGCCGGAGTGGTGGCGTCCGAGTGGAAAGGGTTAAACTAATTATTAGTTTGCAATAATTTATAGTATTAACTATAAAGCAGCTACCTTATCGTGGTGTAAGGTGTTGAAATTGCAAAACATGAAAAATAAATTTTATTTTATATTTGTATGTTTCAAGACTTCCCGATGATTTTGCCATAAAAATGTATGTATGTGTGTGGAATATGTAACTACGCATGTTTGTTAGAATACGGCGTTTTTTTTAGAAAGAACGGCTGAACCGATTCAGATGATCCGAATAATATTTTATTAAATTTTTCACAATGCGGAAAGCTCATTTATTTTTGAAGGCCTGTTGACCATTTCATAGTCAGAACGAAAATGGACTAGAAACAGCAATTTAATTTATGTAATTTTATATATTAAAAAATCTAATATATTTCTTGCATTTGATCATGAAATAGAAAATTTCAGCAATTTGTCCTGATGCTTGCATTTTAAGTTAATTTTTTATGATTGTTTTATGGTAATCGGAGGTAAAAAAATTAATTTAAAATAGTTTTTTCAGAATTAATGTGTAGGAATCAACAATCTTGAAGTAGAATGTAATTATTTCGAAAATTTTATTCAAAATCAAATTGCAATTAAACGAAAAAAAAAAAAAAATATGAAAAATGTAATAAAATGCATTTTCAGAATAAGTATTGACTTGATTTTTAAGGGAGTCAGTATTTGGAGAACAATATGTCCAAATAAATTTAATATTTGTGGAAAGTATAAAAGACGTATGATTGACAATTTTTTCATTCAAAATTCTGCAGTTTTATTACTCACATTGTTTAATACAAATAATTATAAAAGTTAGTAACAAACTGCATATCATAAACTTAATTTCGTTGACAAGCCGATAGGTATAGCCGATATAATATTTTTTTAAATATTTTTAGATTTGTTTAAGGTAAATTGATTGATTTTATATAACAAATTTGCATAATACTGTACAATATTGATTAAATTTATTCAAGAAAATCAAGTATAGCAATAATGCTTACATATAAAGCCGACTCTGTAATTTCGTCAAAAATAATAATAAATCATATTAGTTTTCTATTTGATACACCGTCGTGTAGGTACAGTTTCAGTAATGGTTTTATCTTAACAGTTGTTATTTTCTTTTAAATTAATTAACTTAGTTATAATATTATTTACTTAAAGAGTTATATTAGTATGGATATTAAAAAGTGCGCATATAAAATATAATTTGTAATATTTAAATATAATTTGTAACATAACATTTTAATTAGAATGATGTGTATTTTCAGTTTACGAATCATACTTTGTGCTTTGATAATCAAAACTTTTGTCACATATTCAGTGCAGCATGAAACTTACGAATTGATTCATAATATAACTCGATATAAAAGACAGAATTTGGCAATTGAACCAATTTTTAAGGTAATTCATTTTCATTATTTTTATGTTAAATAATTACTATTTAAATGTATTGTCTCATTATAATTATAATTTATACTCTAGTATAAATTAGGCCAGCAATGTCAAAGTAGAAAGTATCATTCATCATTTGATCTTTTAAGCAAATAAATTTTGAAAATATTTATTAAAATGGTAAAAAAGCAGTATCCAGATGCATAGGAAAATATAAAAGTTTTTAAATTTTACAAAAGGTCTTTTGACTTTTAATTTTTTATATTTCACAACAACCCAAAATAATTAAACTTTCCGAAACAGACGTTCACGTTTTCAATTTTTTGAAACCAAATTTAAAATCTTTTTGACTCGCGATGATTGGTTTTGTGAGACGATCGGTTGAGCCGTTCCTTTATAACACAAAAATGCAAAATTATGTGTTTACGTTGTAGTCAATAATTTTGAAACAATTTTGAAAATTAAAAAAACTTTGAGCTCGCCCGTAGGTAAGCGGTTAAGAGCGACAGGACTTGTTTCAGAGGTCCCGGGTTCGATTCCCACTTCGAGCAGCCTGTTGTCAGGCAACATTGACAACGATTTTCATTCGGAAATATAGATAGCAATATGTTTCCAAGTGAAAATAGCCCTCTCCGGCATTGTTGCACCATACTTGCCCTATTACAGAGATTGTAATAAAAATTTATCATACAGAGATGTGACAACTGTTTGGGTTGCCATATGTAATAAAACAAACGTAGTTTGTAAGATCTTACTCACAACAGCTCATAGAACCCATTAGTTCTGAATATACCTATTTTATATTTTCAGAACAATGGACACCGGTTATCATTTTATTTGCGTTTCTAGGAGATTTTTTTTTCTCGGATGCTTATATTATATACATATATGTATTATATTTTCTATTTTATTTTATTTAATATACTCATTTTCTAAATATAAATTTAGTACATCATTTGTCGAAGTTTAACAAAATAATAATTTTTATTTATGATTCACTTTGTATAAAAATGTGCAAGCACAAGTTGCTAATTTTCGATAAATTTTGTGTCTATTATCTATGTTTGTATTTAGTGGTTCAAAATGAAGAAACATTTATATATATATATTCAATAATTGGTTTGTTTTCAGTGGAAAAGTAATGCATTTGCATATTCAGTTTTCTGATTAAATTGATTATTTTACCAGGGTCATCCCAAAACTCGAGAAGAACTATGGGACCGAGCTTTCAATGGTGAACGCACTGCATTTGACCAGACTCCCAGCCTGGTGTTTCTTTTGGATACATTGGCCAGGAGATATCTCCGAGACTGTGTTCCGGTTATACTTTATGACTCGATGGTAGAACATGGCGAAGATCTTCTACTTCAACAGTTGTTCAAAAAATTCCCACTATCATTTTTTCACGGAAGAATCGGTAAAACGTGAATTCTAATAGTATCAGCTATTAACTTTACCTTTAGTTGTGAAAATTTCATAATTTTAATAATATGACCTATATCAAAAGATTTTAATATCGAGAATTTCAGAAATATCGTATACTGGAACCTTAGTTGATAGAAATACCAAAAATACAGTATCTTAAGATACCATTTTGTATTGTTGATTATTATTATTCATATAATATTTGTACACAAATTGTCGGTTTTAAAGTATTTTTTTATAAATAGATGACAATTATAAAATTGCTGATAAACGATTGCTGGAACCTATGGGAAGTGATGATAAATGCAGAAGTTACATACTATTTTTGGCAGATGTGATGCGCAGCAGCAGCGTTATTGGACCACAAACACATGCAAAGGTTTTTAAATTAAATTAATTCAAAAAAATGAAATAAAATTATAACAACAAGGTTATTTAAGTTATAAGTTTTATGTAAGACTAGAACTAATATACTCAACTAATCATTGCGTGCTTAGGTATTAACTATTTTCAAAAGCATACTATTTTGAATGTTATCTAAATTATGTTACTTTAACGTCGTATAATTATTATGTAAATATATACTGCAGCTAACAACATAAATACTTAGCATCCATATCTAAGAATCCAACTTTTCTTATTACCAATCTTTTCTCTCTGGATTTCAATTTATTTTGTAATGGGTTTCTGTAGAGATATTTGCCACGTTTCCAAAATTTACGCAGTGCGTGTACTAGCTTTTCCAACTTTTCACCCAAAGTTCCACCTACCTTTAAATGAATTTTTGAATAACAGAAGAAAAATGTACAGGCTTTCGAATGATGCTAATTTAAAAGTAGTCCAAAAAGTCGCACTGGTATATGAATAATCATTTTTACCTTTTCACGCACTAACAAATAATTTTTTCACATTATTTGTTATGAACAACATAGACAAGATCAGTATAAATAGAATGACGTTAACATTTTTTCGATATCTCTCATATTTCCGACAAAAAGTGAGCTTGAATAAAGGGGCCACTGTTTTCAGTGATATCTCGGCCAAATGATAAGCTACGGATTTGAAACTTAGTATAGGTCGGATTTTTATTGAAAATATCTATAAAATGGCATCAAAATTATTTAAATACCAGGGTGGGGCCGATTCTGTATGGAAACACGCCCATACCCTTTAGTCATATTGTCTACGTCTGCAGATATTATGATCATGACTTTCAATGAAATTCATTTTTAATTTTAAAATTGATAGTTATATTACGTAAACAGGTAATAGTAGTTGCAAGATCTTCACAGTGGCGTGTACAAGAGTTTTTAACCCATTCAGCATCCAGACATTTTGTAAATCTATTAGTAATCGGTCAGTCCTTGAGAGAAGGAGATAACACAGTGGTAAATTTTTTTGCAATAACTGATTCATGCATTATAAATTACTTGTTGATTTTTTTTTTGATTGGGTTCAATTAAATATTTTAGGAATTGCCTTTCGTTCTATACACACACCGTTTATATATGGATGGTCTTGGTTCAAGTGCTCCAAAAGTTCTCACCAGCTGGGTTCAGGGAAGATTAACAAGACCCCGTGTGAATCTATTTCCAAAAAAAATTACCGAAGGATTTGCTGGCCACAGATTTACAGTCAGTGTCGCCGATCAGCCACCATATATTTTTAAAAAGTAATTGTGGTTTATCTTTTTTATTTTCTTAACGTGCCATTGGTTGAAGAATATGGTTTAATATGGTTTAACAGAGTATTAGCAATTCATAATTTTTTTCCATTTTATATCTGAATATTTCTAGGCTTTCGCTTGACATAAATGGGCAATATTCTGTAGCCTGGGATGGAATTGAATATCGTATGTTAAATATGTTTGGCAAATTGTTGAATTTTAGTATAGAATACAGAGAACCGGGTGATATGAGATTGGGGTAATGTTGAATTGTATCTATCATAGCACTTTAAATAAGAATATTTTAATTTTCTTCAAAATACTACTTCTACTTTTAGCCCAGGAGATTCAGTGAAAAATGAATTAGCTGCTGGTAGGGCAGATATTGGGGTAGCCGGAATGTATGTGACTGAAGAAAGGTTAACCAAATTAGAAATGTCATCAATGCATGCTCAAGATTGTGCTGTTTTTATTACACTCCAATCAACGGCATTACCCAGGTTAAAATTTACAAATTTAAAAAATAAAAAATAAAAACAATAACCAACATTTTTTTCAGATATCGCGCTATAATGGGCCCTTTCACTGGTCGGTATGGATTTGTTTAGTATTCACTTACTTACTAGGTATATTTCCTCTGGCATATTCTGACAGGCACACTTTTAAGCATCTTCTAGGTAAATATTTATAATCATTTTTTGTAATTATTTTCGATTTGCAAAACTATTAGAGTAGCTATAGAAATATATTTAGACATCCGTAAAATAGATTTCCGCCTTTGAGCAAAGTTTTGAGCAGACTTTAAGTGTCGACTAATTTCATTGATAATATTCCCAGAAAAATGAAAAATTATATCTTATGGCCATTTTTATAGTATTACTTTCATAATCATAGAATTGATTGTTCTAGAGATTTTTAAGATCTTTTTTAACTATTCACTATTTTCAAGTTTTTCATTCAATTGAGATTTTTTGTTTTATGATTGATTGGTTAGTTAAGTATCATTGGATTAAAATCCAATAGTATATACTATTTTAATTGCTCACATATGATTGAGTTTTGGTTATTTCGTTTTAAGAAAATTCTGGTGAAATCGAAAATATGTTCTGGTACGTGTTTGGTACGTTCACCAATGCCTTCAGTTTTAGTGGCGAAAATAGTTGGAGCAAAGCTGAAAAGATTACTACCAAGATTCTCATAGGTAAATAAAATATTAAATATCTCTTTATACATATTTATCGAGTTTTACTAAATTTAATCTATTTCAGCATCATATTGGCTATTTACTATTATTGTAACCGCTTGTTACACAGGTTCTATAATTGCATTTGTTACATTACCAGTTTTTCCTGAAACTATTAATACTATCAGAGAATTGATTTCTGGTTTCTTTCGAGTTGGTATTTTAGGTAAGATTAATTAATAAAACTATTATTTTAATTAATATGTTCAATTTAGAGTTTCTATATTTTCATTATCAAACATTGTTTGATGTTCTAGCAATACCCATGTAAATTGCATATTAAAATATATTTTAGATAAAGGTGGTTGGCAACATTGGTTTGAAAATTCAACTGACGAAGCCGTCGCAAAACTTTGGAAAAATATTGAATTTCTTCCAGATGTGCAATCGGGACTTCATAATACTACACACGCTTTCTTTTGGCCTTATGCATTTTTTGGTTCGAAGGCCCAACTTGAATATATAGTGCAGGCCAACTATAGTGTAGAGTGAGTGAAAAATTTACTTATTAACGCTTTTCACTCGTGAATTCCGAGATTTATATGGATTTTGCCGCCTGAGCGGAATAGGTTAATCATGTACGAGGGTCATGTAAAAAATAAGGTTCCCACATTTTTTCAGGGTTGAGGCATTTTTTATTGCAATAAATGTGTATACCATCGGAAAGCTTGTATTTCAAACTATTTTTCTACATAGGCGCCAGATCTTTCAACGCGTTTTTTCTGAGGAATTTTCCACTTCTGAAAACCCGCTTCGAAGAACTCCGCCGCCACACCCTTGCTTGGTCTTCTTCTCCGGCGATTTTGGATGGCTTTTTTGAGTTTTGTTAGTGTCTCACAGTACTTGTCCGAATTTATAGTGGACCTTTCAAACATTAACTCAGTAAGCAAGACACATTTTCGGTCCCAAAACTCGATGGCTTCCCGCTCCTTTGCTCGTCGTGAACGTCTGCGCGTCCTTCGGAGAACTACCTGCACCGTTTGAAGACGTGCTAGATGCTGATGCAAATTTTGCCATAAACTTCTTCCAACTGTCTATGAATTTCAATAGGTGTAAGCTTTTTTGCGTTTAAAAATCGAATGACTGAACGGATTGCACACCTGGCGGTAACGGCAATTGCGCGCTCCATCGTGGATGGCTGTTAGATTGGCACTAAGCTTTGCAGTGATCTTTCTGGTAGTTGGAATGGAGTGGCAAGGATCAACAATGAAAATGGTGTTGCCGGATTTCCCCTAGTATATCGCGCGGCGAGTGTACAGCGTTGGGAACCTTATTTTTTACATGCCCCACGTATATATATATGAAGAGTTGGTATCCAAAGTGGATCATCGGAAATAGAATTTGACGCCATTAAACCGTGTCGATAAATTTGCTATTATTTAAAGTTATTATCTTCAATTAGTTTACACACTAATTACCATTTATCTTTATATTATTTGACTTATTTTTGCATATTTTATGAATAAAGCAGGAGCCCTATAGTTGACTCTGGATTGTAGAACGCAAAACTATTTTAGAGAGTCATTTTTGCTGCCATTTAACAACAGATATAAATATTATGTATAGTTCAATCTGAAAACATTATTTAGTAAAAAGTTCATCATATCTTTACCGTATCTCAAATTTCCCCCGTTTTGTCGGATGGTCCACTCTGGTTACCAACTATTTACATCCAGTTGGTACTTCTTTATAGAATTAAATATTTGCATTTAGGAACATAATTGACATTTTGATTTTTATTCAGAAATAAACGATCAGTTTTACATATTTCCGACAAATGTTTTGTACCTTTCGGTGTTGCTATTGGTTTTCCGAAGCACGCCATCCACGCATCGAGAATTGACACTCTCATTCAGCACGCCTGGCAAGGCGGCCTTCTCACTAAGTTGACCAACCAAGTCAAATGGGATATGCAGAGGTCTAGTACGGGAAAACTTCTCATGGTTAGTATAACTATTGATCTACTCTAAAATAATATATATTGACTTCCCATAGCGTAAGTTATTGTAATCGTCCAAAAATCGAAATTAAATTTTTTTGCATATCTTCACGTTTTGAAGGTTGAAAGTCTGAACATTTTGGCAAACTTTAGAAAAAATTGATGTCTGTGTGTGTATGTGTGTGTTTTTCGTGTTTCGTTCGTCCACGTTTTTGGGCGCACGGATTTACAGATTCAAATGATTCAAAAAACATTCGTGTCCTATTGATAGGAAGATGGCTGATTAGTTTTTGGCAAAGCAGGTCCAGCCGTTTTCGAGATACGGGCAAATAGTGCAAAAATAAAAATCGAGTTTTTGAAAGAACAGAGCATTCGATTTGAATGATCCAAAAAACATTCAATTTGTAATGATGGAAAAAATGGTGATCAATTTTTGGCAAAGGCAGGTCCAGCCATTTCGGAGATACAGAGCTAAATGTGCAAAAAAAATCAGTTTTTAAGAAAACTAAGCATCCGATTTGAATGATTTAAAAAACATTCTGATTGTGTTGATAAAACAATTGCTTCTGAAAATTTTGTTTCATTTCAATTTTTTCTTTTTCAAAAAAAAATTATATATCGGAAATAATTCGGATTGTAATTTTTTTCTGGCTAAAGTTCTAAAGCTCACTTATATACTTTAAATAAATAAATTTAAATTTGCAATTCAGTTCATATAATCTTATATATTAGCCAATGTTCTTCATTTTAAATCCGATTCATAAAGTTTCTCACTCGGTTTATAGCCTTATCCAGAATGTTTATTAACTGATTTGAAGATGGTAGTTATTGATGCTGTTTTCTTCAATCTTTCAAAAGCATTTAAAAGTATTTCTTATGATATTTTTTTAATAAACTAGCAATATGATTTCAATGCGCCTAAATGACTAAAATCTTACTTAACAGACATAACCCAAGGCGTCTAGTTAGATGTAAAAATGGGTGTCCTTCAAGGATCAATTTTTGGTCTACTTACTTAATTGCCAAATCTTTGTGACTTTATTTTGTTCACAAATGAAATTTGTTTTCTAAGCTCTCTGTTGAAAATAAGTTGCTGCTATATAAATCAATTATCAAACCAATCTGGACCTACGGAATTGAGCTCTGGGGCTGTGCTTACAAATCAAATATAGCTATAATGCATAGAACTCAGTCAAAAATTTTACGTACAATACTTAATTCTCCGTGGTGCGTGATAAATAAAACCATTCACAGCGATCTCAACATGAAAACGGTGCAATCAACGTTCAAAGAATTTAAGGAAAAATACAATCGTAAACTGGAATCACATTCAAACCCATCAATAGACGATATTACTCAACCATTTGGCGTAAAAAGATTGAAACGTCAATGGCCTTTAGATTTAGTTTTAGATTAGCTTCAATATAACATTATCTTTTCAATTGTTAAACTAAGAAGATCTCACTGGAGTTCTTCTTAGACATCGCTCTCAAATATTGTCAATTTAGCTTATAGGAATCCTTATGTATTTCTGATTGCTGAATAAAACAGAGTTAAAAAAATGAAATTTGGTTAACTATCAAATCAATAAACTAGGATGATCTTATAACGAAATAAAGGGTTAACTATATTTAACTTAAACACTTATTTGCAATAACTTTAAAAAAAGTTCCAAGAGAATTATCACTAATATATTTGAAAATATTTTTATTGACAGGCTTCCTTTGGTAAAGCATTACGATCATCAGCTCCCGATGAAAGAGGTTTAACATTGGCTGATACAGAAGGTATGTTCTTATTGCTTGGAGCTGGTTTCGTTGCCGCAGGAGCTGCCCTAATTTCAGAATGGATGGGTGGATGTAGCAGAAAATGCCGCTCTATTATCCGCGTAATTAATTAATTTAGAAACTATTAATTTTACTTTTTTGTTTAAACTTTTAACTTTTAACAATTTTAACAACTTTAAACTATTAACAGAAAAAGAAACAAGATGAAGCTGACGAATTCGAAAGACAACAACATTTGGAAGTTTCTGATGCAACTTCTTTGAGTACAGATGACGGAACAACCGCTAAGAGCAAAAATGACCGCAAAAAGTCTTCTCAGACTTACAGAGTTGATACACCTTGTCCAGAGTAAGAGGAATTGTTTTATTTATGTTTAGTTAGATTCTCAATGCGGAAAACTAAAATATTCCTTTTGAAACAATTGTTATGAGCAATCAAATTTTTCTCACATCATAAATAACGACTTTAATAATAGCTTTTAATTTTTGTATGGTTATATATTCAATTGATATTTTTTAAATATGCAAACATTTCTAAATGATTATAATATAAGTTATTTCTTCGTAGGTTAAGATTACACGGATCAAATTCGAATGTATCGCTGAATAAAACTGTTTTGCGTCGTGCTTCTGTAGAAGTCCATGAACATAGTTCATCTAACGATCTTGATTGCGTTTCAACAGATGGAAAAATTCTGCACAAAATTGAAAATGGGAAATGTAATGGAATGGTTAGTAGTCAAGCAAAGTAATTTGTTTTTATTTCACATGTTATGTTTTTAATCTCATAGTTTTGTATACAAAATCATATATGTCAAATATGATTCTTAGAATGGCAGCAATGATAATGCTGAGTTAAATGATGTTCAACATGGAGATCCTGTAACTAACGAAAATCTAATCTACTTCGAAAATTCAGAGTTAAGTGATTTGCTGTTTGAAGGCCCTATGACATTCGAGGAACATATAAAGCACTTGGAGACAAATAAAAAAGATAAAAAAATTAATGAAGATGATACAGAAATAAATCATTTGAAATTTGAAGGCCCTATGACCTTTGAAGAACAAATGAAGCACTTGGAAACCAATAAAGAGAATACAAAAATTAATCATTTGAAATTTGAAGGTCCAATGACCTTTGAAGAACATATAAAGCACTTGGAATCCAATAAAGAGAATGCAGAAATAAGTAATTTGAAATTTGAAGGTCCTATGACTTTTGAAGAACACATAAAGCACTTGGAAACCAATAAAGAGAATACAGAAATTAACCATTTGAAATTTGAAGGTCCTATGACCCTTGAAGAACATATGAAGCACTTGGAAACCAATAAAGAGAATACAGCAATAAATCATTTGAAATTTGAAGGTCCTATGACTCTTGAAGAACATATAAAGAACTTAAAAGCAAATGAAGATAATACAGGAATAAATCATTTAAAATTTGAAGGTCCAATGACCTTTGAAGAACATATAAAGCACTTGGAATCCAATAAGAAGAATACAGAAATAAATAATTTGAAATTTGAAGGTCCCATAACTTACGAAGAGTATATATTGGAAACAAATGAAGAAAATTCAGAAATAAATAATTCGAAATCAAACTTGATGAATAATTGTGTCGATCCGATAATGGATTGTGAATGTACTACTAATATAAGCAGGAAGAGCTGCTGGAAAGTAAATTATTTGGAGAAAAGGTTAATTGAAAATATTTTTCAGTTTGTAAACACTAATTGGTTTGCAGATAAATATTAGAAAACAAGTTATAATTAATTGTGCTTTTATTGCCGTGTCAATAACAATCAATTTTTTATTTATTTTTCTTTGAGAACTAAACCACGTGATTTTTGATCCCAAATATTTAATTATTAATAATAAGCACTAATATATGGTTAGTTTATCCTAACGAAAAGTAGTATCTAGCTCATGATCGAAATTATCTAGTTTGAAAAATATATTTAGATCTGTAGAATATTGGTTATTTATACATGTATCGCATATAATAATAGGCACGTATCGAATATAATAATTTATTATAGTTATTTCTCAAACTAGTATTTTACAAACAAATACTGTTTCTTTATTAAAATTCTTTGTACTAGAAGATGTAAATAAAATTAAAATTCAATCTGCTCCTGGTATCGAAAGGTCTGTATTAGAAGATCTATTAAGTAGATTTGTAATTTTTTCTGTTTCTAACATATTGTGCATATTTCATCTGACATTGGTTTGGTATGAGTCGTAAAAATATATCAATATTTGAAAAAAATAGTTTAACCATCTTTTATTATTTCACCAATGTGTTCTTATATAAAAAACAAGAAAAATAATGCACTCTTGATAATATAAGTAAGGCATTTGCGTGTATGTAGTACCGACTTTCAAACTTTAATATCTAACATGATCACCTTATATTCATAACAATAACTGAATTTTCTAAAACTAGAAAAAAAAACATTAGCAGTTACTATTTAAAAGTTTAAGTCCACATTACAATTATTTCAAAAAACGCGCCATGAAGTATAGACGTTGGCGTTAAATTGAACGTGCGCCACTATTAAGTAACACCTGCAAATTTCACCTGTGATGTTGTAGAAGGTTAGTTTAGACAGTTGCAGACCTATTATTTTGATAATATTCTCTCAGTGGTTTGTGGAGAAAGTAAACAATATTATGAGCCAAAAGACAATATTGCCACAAGTAAGTGCAATGAAATGAACGATTTTATTTGGAATTTTCTCTTGATATAAATCACTTGATATTGTACGTACATTACGTTTTAACTATGCAATTCAGCTAAAGTTTTATGGTTTGGTGGAAGTAACCTCCAAATTTTCTGCTTGTTTGGGGATAAGGAAACAAATGTCATTCCATAAAAGATAACATTATATATGTGTGTATATAAATGTATATAATATAATGCAACATACGAGCAGCAAAATTATAAACCCCGAATCTAGTCACCATTATCAAGTTATTAGTTGCTATCAAATCCGAAATATATTAGGCGTTCGATTGTGATGGCACAGATAAAATTCATAAATATTTGTTTATTATTTGAATGGATTTTTGATGAATTTTTATATCTCTAGACATAAAAAGGACACAAACAACCTGCGGCTGTAAAACTGTTAACTTCAAATACTAGAAAGTATTTAAAATAAAATTACCAATTACAAATACTAGTGAATGTTTCCATGTGTTCGCATTTATTTTTAAAATAAGCAATGTGCACTTACAATTGAGTATTACCAAAAATGATCCATTTTGTAAATTAAGTAAAAAATTATAACGGCGTGACCTTATTCTTTTTACTCCAAAATTCTTCATAAAAAACCAAAATGAAATAATAAATGAATTCAACTACTGTAAGTAGACTGCAACCTAGAAAAAAGGCCGCAGCGCCTCCAAAAGACACCAACAGATCGTCAGCAGAAAATGCTATCTGACGCACATACCTGAAAAAAATATATAAATTTAATTTTTTTTTTTTTTTGTAAGTGGATGTGATTCTTCAAATATTTACATCATGATAACAAAAGATTTACATTAGATAACAAAATTATAATTGCGTTTTATTTCCTTCTTAATGATTTCCTTCATAATGATTTTATCAAAATGGTAGTTTTTATAAAAATATAAAAAAAACACATATCGTGAGTTTTCACTTTACTATTTTTATCATGCGTTCTAATTTATAACATGCATTTTCAAAACTCCAATCAGATAAGATTTCCTCTTTCAGTTGATTAACTCCTATTAGATGAGATTTCCTCTTTCAGTTAATTAGTTATACAAAGATGAAGAATAATGTGTGATAATCATATAAAGCAAGAAATATGTGTCATTATCAATAACAAAGATATCCCGGAATTATAAAACATATTTAGTATAAAAAGTGGCCATTTTTTTAGTAGCGTTAAGCGATAACTGTTATGTATCACCGAATATTACCTTATTTTTGGTAAAATCAAATCCATATTAAAACTTGGTACAGATTTATCAGTAACATGCAGCTGTAAAATAATAAAAAACTAGTTAAATAAATTATGTTAAATATATATAATAATTTCTACTTAAATACGTACGAGGTCTTGCTTCAATTTTATATATTTCAACTGAATGCACGGATTTAAACATAATAATGTTTGCCTGTAATCTGCTTGGTATTCTGGATTTTCACTTCGAACGCATGTTATATATTCTTTCAGGTTACATATTTTTGACTGACCTGGTAATAAATGAAATAGTTAAATTTGTTTATTTATTCTGAATATTTAATGTTTTCGAAAATATTTTTTTAGAATGGAAGAAAACTTCTCTTCTCGTACTGAGCACCATATCAACAGTTTACTTAATTGATGCGCAGCAACCGCATTAATAGAATTATCTGTTCTCTTTTTGGCAATAAATTCGTAGATTTTTTATATAAAAATGTTCTATTGTGAAACTATTTTATTTACATTAAAACACTTTTGTTATGTAAGTCAATTGGACCAATTCTGCCGCACAACAGACCAATGTTATGGCAAGGCTATGTTATAAAGAACTTTCCATACTAAATATTGACAAAGCCATGTGGTTGCTTTGCAGTCAGGCGTTTTTCTCAGGTTGTCAGATAGAAAACCTAATATAGAAACCGCACAAAGGTCTAAAAAAAACTTAGATAACAGGGTCTTTCTGACCCAGCTTCATAACATACAAGTGACGTGCAGTTTATGTGTAAATAGTCTGAATGCACAAAAAAATACATGACATTTTGACAGTATTCAGTATGATTCAGTAGTATAATGTATAGAAGTTGGAGCGTAACATGGCCTGGCTATAACATTGGTCTGTTGTGCAGCAGAATCGACCCAAATGTTTATATATATATAACTGTACTTACGATTTGCATGCAAATAGTACGGGCGACAATTACACTTTTTGGAGTATTGCTCAGCAGTATCGGCGATCTTGCAAAGCCGTCTTGAGTACAACTGCAATAAAAATATTTTATATTTCTAATTTTTACCCTGGATAAATTTATTTTTATTGTATTATTTATATATCTTACAGTCATTGTCTTTTGCTGTGGCTCGCGGATGTTCATGCATTTTCGTTGATTTGGGCTCAATGAATTTATATTGGAATCTGATACTGTCCAATCTGCTGTGTACTCAGTTGTAGGTGAAGATGTAGCTGTTACGTGAAAATTTTGACTTGGGTTCAGGATTTCATAAGGTGAGTGAATATACAACTGAAAATTAAACATATATTTACATGATTAAATAGCATATTTCTATTATGCTAAACTTTCAAACAAACTCTCATTTTGATCGCTCTTTGAATATTAGAGGGACGCAATTTTAATTATATTTGAAAATGCAATTGAACTATAGTTTTGTACAAGAGTGTCGTCTATAGACTACATTGAGTGTATCGACTTTTGCTTCAAAATTTATCACTCTGAGGTAAATTACTGGTAATTCTAATTCATTATTGTAATGCTTACTGCTTTAGAAGTATGATATAAATTTTTTAACTTATCGTGGGGTAAATTATAGTAATCGTAAAAAATATTTTTTTTACATATCTTTATGCTTCAAAGGTTTCTGAACATTTTGCGCGTGTATGTGTGTGTGTGTGTTCGGATACAAATTTTCCTCGACGATTTTGGAAACACGGATCAACGATTTGGATAATTCAAAAAACATTTGATTCGTATTAATGGGGAGACATGCTGACTACTTTTTGGCAAAGACAGGTCCAGCCGTTTCGAAGTAACGTGACAAAAAGTGCCAAAATTGGTAATGCAGTTTTCGAGATAGTGAAGCGTCCGATTTAAACGATTCAAAAAACATTTTATTTATATTGACGACGTGAAGAGCTTATTAAATATTTGGAATGGCAGGTCCAGCGGTTTCGTAGATCTAATACAAAAAGTAAAATAAATGCCATTCGGCGATCAAAAATGATATATGTACATCAAATTATCAGACATTTATAGAGATTTTAATGATAAGGAGAAATTTTGTTGATATTTCTATGGGTTCCATAGCAATATTTGTCAATTAGACTGCGACGCGACGCGTACGCGCTTTGGTATTTCGACTCTAAAACAGCTACGCAACGCAATAATTTTAAAAAAAGTTCTAACTTTACAAAATCTCCGAATATATAAAAAAAACAAAGAAATCAAACTTTTTAAAAAAATTTAAAATTTTCCAAAATCTAAATTTCATAGTTTTCAAACAATTTTATAGTTCTTTTCTTTTAATTTTTTTTTATTTCTGGTACGGAAAGTTTCAGCAATTTACTAGTTTACTACCAATAATAATTATAACTATAACTTTTTATTATTTATTATAATTATTATTATTATTACTTACATCAAAATCACGATAACTCTTGAGATATAAACTCCCTCCGACTTTATCCAGAGCAAACAATTTTGGTTCAAATATTTTTGGTTCTTGTGATGCACTAAAATAGTAATTTAATATTTATCCCATTCAAATATGATTTAATGTGCAATGTTTCTATACAGATTAAATACTTACATAGTATCATTTACACTTATCATGTAACTAACTATGGAATTGAAAGAAAGGCATAAACCTTTTTCAGTCATGATCAATGTGAAATTTTCTTCTGCTTCCTTATCATTTACAGTCAGCTCTAGATCAGAATCTGGATAAACCTGTAAATGAGGTTAAAGATGCTTGTGTAATTAAAAAATTACACTAAATCTTAATATATTCTCAATTATATGATATAATATATCAAAATGACTTAACAAAGATGTCGCAACTTTCCTTAAATCAAAATGCCAATTACACATTGTTTATAGTTTCAAATTTACTACTCAAATTTGTCTATATTAATATGTAGACAAATAAATGATTTTTATTTCTCTTTTTAACTTCCCGTAGGGGAAGTTATAGTAACCGCAAAAAAATCGAAAATGAAAATTTTTATAATATATCTTTCGATTTCAAAGGTTTCTGAACATTTTGGCATACCTTAGAAAAAATTGATGTATGTGTGTGTGTGTGTGCGGATACAAATTTTTGTCGACGATTTCGGGAACACCGATCAACCGATTTGAATAATTCGTATTGATAAGGAAGCGTGCTAATTAGTTTTTGGCGAAAACAGGTCTAGCCGTTCCGAAGATACTGAGCAAAAAGTGCCAAAAACGATAACTCAGTTTTTAAGAGAACGGAGCGTGCGATTTGAATAATTCAAAAAACATTTCACTTGCATTGACGAAATGAACAATTGGTAAAATTTTTGGAAGGCAGGTCTAGCGCTTATGGATTCTCTATAAAAATAATTTACAAAAATGTTATTTGACGGTCAAAAATGTTCATTGGACATATGTACATCAAATTATCAGATATTTTATAGAGATTTTATTATTGTGCATACATTTTGTGTAAATTTTTTTGAGTTCCGTACCAAGATTTTTAATTTTGAATTTTTTTTATATGGTTCAAACAAATGCCCTCGACATTTTCGACAGTATGGAATAACCGATTGTATGGTTAAAAAATCATTCGGTTTGTACTCGATCACGAGTCGTTTTTGCAAAAGGCAATTTTGTCGTTTCGGAGGTATGGAGCGTAAAGGGTGTAAAAAACAGTTATGCAGTTTTTGAGAGAACGGATTCTCCGATTAGATTGATTCAAAAAAACATTTTGCTTGAGTAGATGGTGTGCTGTTCTCTAGAGAAATATTTCTCTAAAAAAAAATATGCACTGTTCTCTAAATATGAACATTTTCCTTACTGTAATAATCGAAAGTATTGTAATTGTAAGAAACAAAATTGAAGTTTTGATTCTAATAAAGATATTCTTCCACTGTGTATCGATATAACAAAATAATAGGTGCCTCATGATAATTAATTTGCCTCATGAAGCAAATCGTAAATGCATAATATATCACTATGAAATGTTATAATTTAATAAGTGGTTGTACGTAGTTATGTTTTAAACCATCTCGTTTCAATATTTCTTGCAAAAATTATTATAATAAATTTGATTCGATATAATAATTACTCCGCTAAATTCATTTATAGCAAATAAGCAAATAATAAGAATTTGCTTGTATTAAACCCGTTCTACCACAGATGTCGTTAGGGGTTGATTTGTTCACCTCGCGTGCCTCGCGTTGCGTAGTATAGACCAATGCAATGTGCACTATATATACAAAGTAAATATTCATATAAGTAAGTATCGCGATACGATCATTGATACTAGAAATTGATTGAGATCGCGATCGTCACGTTATCGGTCTTATATTGCGTCTTTTCTAAACAAAGCGCAAATTTGTCAGGGCTTGCTCCGCTTCCGACACAAAATTATAAGGTGAACGTGCCTTTTGCTACTTTTTTCCAAATTCTGGTTCGGAATTGGTAATGGATTAAAAGTCAGCACATTTGAAAGTGTATTCAAAATTTCATAAATCAGTACAGTGTTTTATATTTAATAAATTCAGTGGGCATCGAATAAAATCGCTAGAATTCCCGGCGGAGCCTAGGAAGATGTCACAAGACATGGACGTCTTGACTAGCAACCGTGTTGAAGAACAAGTACCAGGCATTATCGGACCGAGTGAAATGGACACGGATCGAGAGATTACGCGTACCGGGTAGTGAACGCAAGAACGGTTAAGGCAAAACAACGCAGACAAATGTGATATGAATCCAGACTGTTAAACTCTGAAGCCATCTACATCGAAAACGGGGCATTTAGCAGCCAAGAACACCACCGTACCAGAGCCAAAGATTCCACCTATCATCGTCAAAGGCCAGCTGGATTTGAAAGTTTTAAATATATCAAAGATACGACGAAAATAACATTCAGGACCAATATTTAAAACCCCAATACACACAAATTTTCGCCGATACGATTGCAGATCACGAAAAATTAAAAGCATACTAAGGGATTGTGATTTCCAATTTTACACCTATTCTATGCAGCACGACATCCCGAAGAAAATTACCATAACTGGCCTAAATCCAGACATTACTGAAACGGTGGTTCTTGATGAGCTGAAAGCCAAGGGCATTAAGGTGAAGCAGGTGGTCCAAATTAAGAAGAGGAATCGGACGGCAGTCAACGCAAACTCCCTATAATATATTGTCCTTCTAGATAAGGAACAAGAGATGGCCAAACTGAAGGAAATAAACAATATAGAAGGACATATATTTAAATGGGAAAGCTACAGGCCACTAAACAAGACCATCCAATGCCACAGTGCCTAACTTCGGCCATACCTCGTACACGTGCGACATGCGGTATAGATGCATAAAATGCACGAACGTGCACACCGGGAGTGTGCACGAAGCCATCAACCGAGGATCCGAAATGCGTGAACTGCCAAGAAAACCACCGGCTAACTATTCTAAATGCCCAGCTCTAATCAACTATAGAGCAAAAAGAGACAAAGATGCGCTAAGAGAAATCCAGCATACAGCCAGCGCCAACACCTGCGCCGCTGACGAGGAGCTTCTCGTCAGCCTTACAACCCACCAGCGATGGCCGTAACAACAGATCTGCGTTTCCTGAACTCCCGGTACCATCATCACCACGAACACAGCCGGCCTCCCAGTATCCATCGCCGAAGATCCAGCCAACACCAGAACCGATCCGGCCAGCATCCTCACGAATCCGCCCTACCACCAGCCAGTCCCGATCCAGACCTGAGTACACCCGGAGGGACTATTTACTGTTATGGGCGAGATCAGGAGTTATTCGCGGATCCCGAGGTAAGACAAATTTTCAGTGAGCTTTATAAACTGACAAAGACATTGAACACAAATATGACTTAGCAATGACAATACACAAACCCATACTTAACTTTTTAACGGCATGCCCATAATCACGCACGCGACATACACATAATGTACTTCAACTCCAACGGACTCAAAAACAACGTAGACGAACTGAAACAGACCATAACAAATATGACTTGGACATTGTACTAATTAACGAGACACACCTTAAACCCACGGACAGACTTTACATCAACACTACAAAGTATACAGAACGACAGACCGACAAACTCACGCGGATGGGGAGGCACTGCGATATTGATCAAGTCTAATATAAGACACGAGCAAGTGCCAAACCTGACAGCGGGCGGTTCTGAAATAACAACTATTAATGTATACAAAAGAGGTCAAAAGTGACTATAATATCGATTTACATCCCGGCAAGCGGACTGCAACTGACGGACCTACAAAACCTACTTGACTCAATACACACGTCTTAATGGCAGGAGACTCAACGCGCAACATACATCCTGGAACTGCAAACTACAACAAC